TTCTTCTTCTTCTTCTTCTTCTTCTTCTTCTTCTTCTTCTTCTTCTTCTTCTTCTTCTTCTTCTTCTTCTTCTTCTTCTTCTTCTTTTTCTTCAGGTGTCAGGTCTGTAGCAGACACTGACGATCATGGTATCCCATTCCTCCCTGTTGTCTGTCTTCTTGATCAGCTCAGTTGTTCTCTTTGGGTTTTTTGTTGTAAAGCTGTTCAGGCCATCTGTGTATGTTGTTCTTTGTCTCTCTCTGCTCTTCTTTCCCTCTATCTTTCCACACAGTAGCAGTTTCTCTAGTCCATCTGATCTATTTATGTGATCAAAAACGTTTTTTAAAAAGCTAACTATATTATAATAATTGTCATTTTCTGATGATTCTGATTATACATCTTTCACCACCTGTCATCTTGGATCATTTCTCTATGACCATCAATGATTTATTTATAGAGGCACCTGCCATCCGTGTCCAGCTGTTGTTTTAGCCTACCATTTCTCTATTTGCTTTCTATCTACGAAACTTCAATGAGATAGGCAACAGCGTGCATACTATAAAATATGCAAATTCGTGCTTTTGATGATGGTTCAAAATGTGCATTAACACTGCCTAGGTCTTCCACTGGTAGGATATGTGTCGGCTACGTCATTAAAGATTGAGAATATGGAGATACCTAGGACATGTTCTACGAATGCCGAAAACAAGATTGCCCTATAAGAGGTGGTGTTGAAAAAAAGGAAAACAGGTGCAGACCAACTGGAAGTCACAGAGGCGCACAATCATGGATGAGACAATCACTCAAGGCCAAAGTGTGCCGAGATTGGGGAAGGTGGCCAGGGACAGGCAAGCGTGGCGTCTACTGCTCTCTGCCTTTTGTAACTGACGGTGTAGGGAGAGAGTAAGTAAGTACGTCCTAATAAGCTTTTTAGACCCTGAGTTATTGCCACCGTTTCCCGGAGTGTTTTTCTACAGTCACCTAAACCTGGTGCACTATGTATCATTATAACCCCAAAAACTTGTTTATAACTTCTAAATGGCAGAAACAAAGGCTTAGTCATTACTAATAAACTTGGTTCGGGAATAGTTATGAAAAACAAGCAAAAACTAGCCCTAAATGAAACGAAACAGTTGTCACTTGTACTGGACGCTCCCAGCGTCTGATGGGGAACAGGGTTATTCATTACCGCCGGACGCTACCAGGGTTCGATGGGGTTTAAGAAGTTAAGTTGTTAAAAGAATAATTCCAGAAGAAGCGCTTGTTCGTACATTCTGATGACACTGTGTGAGAAGGTCACGCCCCGTCTAAGGCGGTCTCAACTTTTTCCTCCACGATAGATCTTGGACACTTTTGACTTAACGTGAAGGAATGAACATCTTTCCGTACCCTTTGATTCCGGCTCGTCACTTATTATGCGGCATTCGTAACTCCACATTTTTGTGGCTTGTCACTTGAGTGTTGTTTTGGGGTACCGGTTTCGTTAATCCCAAAAATCTACACCTGCTGGTCCTGAGCTACATTAATTTTACTACCCTTTTCCCCCCTCTATTATGATTCTCTACCCAATTACAAATAGTTTGTGGTAACACAAACAAATAATTCAATATTTGACTGCATTATAGCCATTTTAAACTAACACTCTTCGCACCCTGGTGCGTAGAATTGAGGAATCCCTTGCGAACTGAAAAAGCTAAACTATAGAAACCTTGCATCGGGCCTTACACCAACCTTCTGTCATTGGTTAAGCAACACAAGCATGTATGTTATGGTCATGTCATCCATTCTTCAAGCTTTGCTAAAACTGTAAGCCGACAGAAGAAGAGATCGGAGGATAACACCTGAGAATGGACAGACATATTATGGAGCTGTGGGACAAATTGAAGAAAGCAGAGAGTCGAGAGAAATGGAGGAGATTTGTTTAGTTTTAGTAAGAGTTTTACCA